TTCCCCCGTCTTCCGCCTCGTTTTACTTCCGTCGACTTCCGCCGGCCAGCGTCGCGATGAAAATTCCAGGAACTTTCATTGGGCCGATGTAGATAATAAAACTGTTACGCGACGCGCGAGGCCTCCAGGATTTTCCCCATAACGATTGCAAGATCACTGATGTTTGGCAAGCAATCTCTGGAGCTTGATTCGAGACACGCATGCCAACCAGTGGTCTAGAGAGATCCCGCCAGAGTGGGGCGCCACGGAAGAGGGCAATTATCCTTTGCTTGAAGCGTCTGTGAAGGTTCCAGACGCCGATTTGGACATCAAGTTGGAATAACCCTGTTCCAGCTGCTCAACGTCTCGGGTATCCCCCAATCAACTTGGCATCGGAAATCTAGCTTTTTTTCTGCCGCTCGCACCAACCCGCAGCTAGGCACGAATTTAGCACGCCTTCAGCGCGCGCAAGGCGTCAGCCAGGGATCGAGCAACGCCACTCGCTATGGCCCGTGCTGAACGCGTCTCACTTTGAAGGAGATTTGGACGGCAAGGATGGGGGCTTGCACGCCAGATACGACACATGTTGAATACAAGCATGCCTGGGCCGAAAGCTCCACTGCCGCGAGCAATCGCACGTGGAACTGCCCTGGTAAACCATCCGGTCCGGCACGAGGGTCGTCAAAGGACCCACTCGCCACTCGCAATAGCAAGTGGCGAAGTATTGCGCGCGATGTCCGGGGCGATGTTGATCGTGGCCATCGCTGCGCGGTTCGCCGCTGCACATCCTGCTACATCCCATTCCACGGGCAGCGGCGAGCTGGAGGTACCCTCTGCGACAAATACATCAGCGCGATCATGTATAGGTCGGCCTTTGGATTGTCAAGCAGCGCCGCATGTCTGAGCGGGATGTTCAGGCCCGCACCGCCGTCGAACTCCAAGGCCAACGTAGAAGATGCCCCATGGGCATTCATTGCACCTAGCGCCTGTCTCGTCGAGCGCGATTGACCGCAGTGCTGTCACCGGGGCAGGCGAACCTTGGATCGCCGCGCCCCAACACCCAACCGCATCTGAGCACCATCCCTGCACGTCTGCTTTCGCCATCTTCCCCCACGGCGCCTCGGGGAAACGTCGCGCCCAGAAAAGATATCCCCCGCTGTTTTAGTCCCCGCCTTCGCCAAGGAATGATTCCAAACGCAGTGGAACTGGCGCAGCCTGCAGAGATTTCGCTCGCGCGAGTACACGACGAAGGCCAAGCTGGTTTCGGCGTCCTTTGGTGGAGCTTCTACCCCGGCAGGCCGGCACTGACCCACCCCCACTGTCGTCGTCGGCATGAGCTTCGGGAATGCCGCCCCCAGGTCGTCGGGGTCGCAGCGAGGGCGCTGTGGCAACACATATTGGGATGCCTGGCGACGCTCCGAATTGGCTGCCCCATCGCTGCCATCCGCGGCGATGTCGTCGCCGTCTCGCGCGCCAGACTTCTACCGTGCATTCCGCGGATTCGGGGTGGCCGTCTGTCCCTTCCTTGCTGATAGGGCCCGCCGTTGAAACTGGTAGATGTCGCAGCTCTTGCATGCCGACGTACTCGCGAGCTACATCCATACAGCCAGGACGCACTGCGCGTGCCCACCGCGCTACATGCACTCGCACTTGCTGCCGCATCTGTCCCAGATGCCATTCAGCGTGCGCCCTGATTGCCCCGCGCGCCCCCGCCCAGTCTGGAATCGCGTCAACCGAAAAGTCTGGGCCAAGTTCGCAGCGCAAATCAACGATGCGCATGCAATCGCCCCCGCTAGCCCAAATAATATAGTCTGTCTCGGCCACGCCCGAATCTTCCAGCTGGCCGATCTGGCCCGCCACGTTGGCGACGAGGCCCCCGACGCTGCGCGAGCGAAGCCCGCTGCCGGGCGGGTGTCTCTGCAATAGAAGTTCGCCATGCCTGCATATTTGCAACGCCGTTGCAGGGCGCCCCATAAAGCACTGGCCTTCTGCTCCCGATTCACCTTCGCGCCCCCAAGCCACTCGCCGCCGATGCGCCGCGGGGCAGGACGCTGGGCGACATCATTTTGGTCGCCCCCGTCGCGCTCGCGGCCTCCACGGTGGCCCAGCGATGGTAGCGAATGACCTCTCTGCTGCGTCTGCCAACTTGCCGCGCACTTCCCAATCATTGATCGACCATCGCCGGGTCTGCTCGCAGCAAGGCGAATTCTGCATCCAACGCGGCGGGCCTCGCACGCGACAGTCCCGTTCATCTCCTCGGCGCGGGCCCCGCGTCGTCGGCTCGCGCATCACGGGCGCGGCCGCGGCTAAGTGGGCGTCAACGCGCGCGCCGACCTGTAGGTAAACGGAGTCGCCGCACTGCCGCGACCGCGGGTGCCGTTGCCGATTTCGCCGCATGCATGCGATGTCCTTCTCCCGTCGGCCTTCGACCATCGGCATCTGGCGATTGGCCGCGAGCACGGGCTTGCGACCGGCGGGTTCAAGCCCCCTCCAGCGGGGCCAACCATCTTTTGCCCAGACGCCGCGCCACTTGGGCGCGCGCTTCACATTCCTGACGTCGCCCCCGCCGAAACCGACGATCGCCGCGCGGTACACCGCGACAACTGCGCCCCCCTGGCCCCTGAGCCTCCATTTGACCACAGATATGTCGTGAAACCCTTCGGCGAAAACGCCGCCTGTTCGGACTAGTCGGGTCAGCGAAGCACTGCATTCCGAAGAGCGGCTAAGCCAGTGGACTGGTCCTCCTCCTGGTTCGTCGCCCTCATCACCTTGGCCCATGAAGTTCTTTGGCCCCCACTCATGTCCTCAGACCCCACGCAGTGAGTCCATCCAGGCTTGCCAGCGCGATTGCACTCAGCCCACTTCCCACTGCCAATGGGACAGGTCTGGCAGCACCGCGCCCGCCGCCACCGACGGCGCGCGCCCTGCTGCCTCGGCCTCACCACGTCCAGCCGCAGGCCGTCAACGTCATAACAGATCTGCCTCTCGTCTCCGATGAACTCCTCGATAGCGTCAGTGCACTGCGCACGGCGTCCACAAAGATCTTGACGTTTGAACGTTCGTCGCCCTGCAGCTGTCTCTGCTTGGTACGGTCGTGGATCTGGCCATCTCAGCCTACCTGGGTAACCGCATCCCCGCTCACGTAATCGATCCTGTCTTCGATCTCGACGGTCTTCTGGCATCCAATCCTGCATGGGTAGTTAGTCCTCGGTGAAGGGCCACTGCGAGCAGGGCTTTTCCTCCTTCGCAAGCCACCCTAAGCGAATCGCCCTTCTCAGCGGACCCTGATAGTGCGCTGTAGGTGTCGTCGTCTACGCAGTTTGAGTAGGTCTGGGGTCTAGCTATGACAGCTACCCTCCTTCTCGGTCGCGTCTCCTGCTGACGCCAGCGACGCTTGCCGCGCAGCTGCCGCGACCGGCACCCCAGCCTTGATCTTGGCGAGCTGCGCGAGGTAGATCTGGACTTGTTCGTCGTCTGCGAGGTCGAATTGGTTGCCAGTGCAACTTCTGGCGACGCTCGTCTGCCTCCTGCATCCTTGAGTGGTCCAGATGATGATGCCACTGCATCAACACCTGCCTCTGGTTTGGCCTCCACCTCGTCGCCGATGTCGCCCCTGCGCCTCTTGGATGCCTTCGCCGTGGTTTGGAGCTTGGTGGCCGCGTCGAGCGCCTTCTTGGCATTCTGGACCGCCTCCTTCGTCTCCGTGATGAACTCATTGGCCATTCGGCGCTCCTCTTGTATGTTCTGGCATTATTCCTTCTGCCCTGCGTCCATCAAGCCCAGCTCAGAATGGACAGGGCTGGGACAGCTTCATCAGCTTCGTCCCGTTTCTAATAGGCGTTTTCGGCTGGGGCAGCACCAGCCCCAACGTCACCTGTCGCTTCGAAGAATCAACGCTATGCCTCTACCATGTCTGCCACGTTCTCGCTGACCTCTCTGAGAGCCTCATTGCGGTGCTCTGTGGCCCTCTTGAGTTTGTTGGTCGGCTTGTCGTATTGTTTCTGTACACGGTTGAGCTCTGCCACGGCCTTTTGGAGCTTCTGTCCTGTTGAGAGAACGACTGGTTCAGCTGTTGGTGCTGGTGCAACTGTTGGGCATGTTGCTGCGATCTCGTCCATCTTGGCCTATTCGGACTGGCCGGGTCAGCAATGTATATCTTTCTGAGTAGCTCCATCATTGGAGTGGATCCTCCAGCTGGTCTGTCGTCTTCGTCACCTTTGCCCATGGAATTCTTTGGCTTCCACTCATGTCCTCAAGTCCCACAGTGAGTCCACTCAGGCTTGCCAGCACGATTGCAATAAACCCTGTTCCCACTGCCACTGGAAGACGTCGGGCATATGATGCACTGCGTAGCCTTCTCACCCTTGGTGTTGGGAGGCGTGCTGGTCGATCTTCAGCTGCGGCGCCAGGAGAAAACCCACGACGCTTTCGCTTTGTCGCCACCGTGCCAGCCACGGTTCCCAGTCATGCATGTACCTGGGGCAGCAAAAGTTTCAGCAGCGGCCTGACCTGGCCGCCCCCTCTCAAGGCGCGAACCGACGTACAGCGAGCACCTCGCCCGCCGCCGCCGATGGAGCGCGCCCTGCTGCCTCGGCCCCCCGCGGGGCACCAGGTGCCAGCTGCAGGCCGAAATGACTTGACAAGAGGGGAGAGGGGGGAACTGTTTGAGCTCCACGCCAACACCTCCAAGGAGAAGGGGGAACAGGCGGAAGGCAAGGAGAAGGGAGGACGAGGAGGAACACGCGGAAAAGAGGAGGAGCAGGCGGGGAAGGGGGAGGAGGAGCATATGACGAGGCAGGAGGGCGAAGCTAGGACCAGGCTCCGCGCCAAGATCTTCGACGCCGTGGTTTTCTAGAAGACGTGGACCCCAGAGTTCCTGGCCCCTTCCCCCATGGACCGGCTTTTCGACCCACCTTGTGCCTTAAGCTGCCTGGGGTCCGAAGCGGGCTTCCAGAAGCCGAAAGCACACGCACGAGAAAACAACCGCCGTGGTCTGCTCGGTCCGCAGGAACGTGGGTCTCCTTGTGTTCCTCCTCGACGCCGCCGAAGAGGACAATCATGCAGGATAAATTGTCCTCACGAGCAGCGGACGTGTCCGCATCCGTGCCCTCACGGTCTGGACTCCGGAGCGCCTTCCCGCGGACACGCGGTCGGACGGATACGCTCCGCGCGGGGGGCAGCAGCCAAAAGACGCCCCGTCTCCGTGGGGTCGCGGGCCCAGGGGGCCCGGCCCGCGAGGCCGCGGATGCAAATGTGTGGTTCACCCACGATGTCCTTCGAGCCCTGCCTCAGGGCCTCGCGGCACACCGCGGTGGCCGCGGCGCCGGGGTTCATCGACGGGCCCTGCCGCAGCTTCTCCGCGGCCAGGCTCACGACCTCTCGGCTCCCCCTCTCTCCGGCCCGGGCCCTTCGCGGCCAGAGCAAGTCGCGTTCGGCCTCCGTTCGGCGAGGCGGGGCCGTGTCCATCTCATCATCCCCTGAGGTATCGATCTTCGTGGACCTCGACAGGTGGTGGACATGGATAGGCTCGGCCCATCAAAGAGCCCGAATTCGTCTACACCTACATTATGTACACACATACTTGCATACATACATGCAGAAGGAACCTCGGCGGTCAGTGTAAGTATATGCCTATGTTTGTATGCATGCATGTATGCATGCATGCATGCATGCATGCATACATGCATGTATGTATGCATGCATGCATGCGTGCGTGCGTGCGTGCATGCATGCATGCATGGATGCATGTATCTATGTATGTGTGTATGTATGTATGTACGTATGTGTGTGTGTGTCTGTAACTGTGTATGTATGTATGCATGCAGACATGCATGCATGTGTTTATGGATGTGTGTATGTATGTTTGTATGTATGTGTGTACGTATGTCGATGTGTATGCATGTATGATTGTATGGATGGATGCATGCATGCATGTACGCATTGATGCATGCATGCATGCATGTATGCATGTATGGATGACTGGATGGATGACTGGATGGATGGATGTGTATATGTATGTATGTGTGTATGTATGTGTGTATGTATGTATGTATGCCTGTATGTATGTTTGTATGTGTGTATGCATGTATGTATGCATGCATGTATGTATGTATGTATGTGTATGTATGTAGGTAAGTGTGTATGTATGTGTCGGTGTGTGTATGTGTGTATGTATGTATGTATGCATGTGTGTGTATGTGTGTACGTATGTATGTGTGTATGTGTGTATGTGTGTATGCATGTATGTGTGTATGTATGTGTGTATGTATGTATGTAAGTATGTATGTATGTATGTATGTATGTGTGTAGGTATGTATGTATGTATGTATGTATGTGTGTGTATGTATGTGTGTATGTATTTATGTGTGTTTGTATGTATGTATGTATGTATGGATGCATGTATGTGTGTATGTATGTAGTTATGTATGTATGTGTGTGTATGTATGTATGTATGTATGCATGCATGTATGTGTGTATGTGTACCAGCCCCCTCCTCGGACGTTCGCCGTGTGCCACGTCCCTGGGGGCCGCCTCCGGGTCCCAGAGCCGCCTCGACGGAGACAGCACAGGAGGAAAGGCCGGCCCTGGGGAGACAGGGTCGAGAGCTCCGGGGGTGGGCCCGGTGGCTCGAGCAGATCTCCTGCCTCTTCCGCGCGCTGTCTCCATCCATCCATCCATCCATCCATCCATCACCCCCCCCTGCTCCCCTCCCATCTCTTCCCCTTCCCTTCACCGTTCCCCCTCCCCTCCTCCTGCTGCCTCCTCCTCCCATCCTCCTGCTCTCCTCCTCCTCCTCCCCCTCCCCCTCCCCCTCCTGCTCCTCCTCCTCCTCCTCCTCCTCCTCCTCCTCCTCCTCCTCCTCCTCCTCCTCCTCCTCCTCCTCCTCCTCCTTCATCTCCTCTCGAACATTCTTTGGGTCGGCTAGACGAAGGAGTGGCCCTGGGCAAAAGTGCCCCTTGGTGCGCGGCTCTCGGGGGACGCGGGAGAGGCCGAGTGCAACCCATGCGAGCGCGACAGTCGGTGCTGGCGGGACCCCTGTGGGCACGCACATAAGTGAAGGGGCCCTGGGACACACAGAATAAATACACACAAATAAAAGGACTCCCGGAATGTTCTCATATTTTCTGGGTTTTTGTCTTCCCCCCCACTTCCCATATTTTCCCATATTTTCTGGGGAATCGACGATTAATTGTGTCTGTGTGTTTTTTCCCTCCTGACTCACGCGTAGCCGAACAGGGCGGGCCTACGGGGGACCGGCGTGGCCCCGGCTGAAAAACGGGCATGGCCGGATCGCACTTCATCAAGAGAGGTTCCAGGGTTCGGCCTTCGGAGGCTCGGCCATGATAGCCCTCGTCCTCCGCCTCCCTCTCCTCCTTCCCGGTTTCGTTCTCCTCCTCCTCCTCCTCCTCCTCCTCCTCCTCCTCCTCCTCCTCCTCCTCCTCTTCCTCCTCCTCCTGTTTGCATCCCCCTCCTGCACCTCGTGCTTGCCTTGTCGCGTTTCCCCACCACCACCACCCCCGGTCCTGGGGCGTCCTCTGGAACCGAACCGAGCCAGAGCGAACGCAACTGGCGTGGAACCGTTGGTTTGCGAACCCCCTGAAGCGAGCCGAACTGGAGAGGGGGAGGAAGAAGGGGATTTGTTCCTCCCTGACACCGCCCGCCCTCACTCCTAATATCTTCCCCCCCGCGCTCAGTTCCCTCTAAAAATGCGAAAAAACATCGAAGTTGCAACCGAACATGTGTCAGGGCAGTAACTGCCCGCGTGTGCACGTGCGTAATCTGGCACGCATGGAAGATACAGTGGACAAAGCAGCGCTTGCCTTCCACGGATGCCATCCCGACTTGCTCGCAGCTGCAGCTCACGATTCAGGAGCTGGTCGACAATATTATCTTGCAGCCCATGGACGCAGAATGCGATAGGCTGGTAGTAGTAGCTGTTCTGCTTGCGTGCAAGACCTTCTGATTTGATTCCACGACGGATTAGGACACCGCGAATGCAGGATATGGGGTCCAAGCCCTGACAAGGATCGACGACCGTCCGAGCAACGGTCCTCTACAAGATGCCAGTCGAACTCACGAGCATGGGTGGCATACCCGTGATCAAATCCTTCCAGATGTGAGTGAGATAGATGTGGATACATATTCCTCTTTCTGCTCCTTTCCCGTTCCTCCTCCTCCTCCTCCTCCTCCTCCTCCTCCTCCTCCTCTGCTTGCCCCCCCCCCTCATCCTCCTCGTCCTCCGCCTCCTCTCCTCCTCATCTTCTTTACCCTCCTCTTCCTCCTCCTCCTCCTCCTCCTCCTCCTGCCTCGCCTTTCTTACCCTTGCCAATATCCTCATCCCTCCCACGCTCTCCTCCCAGGCCCGGGCGATCCGCCTCCCGGTTTGGGAACGTGCCCTCCGAGATGCCGTCGCAGACCAGCAGGAGGAAATCGGAGGCGGAACACTCCTGAGGGGCCAACAAGACCTCCAAGAGCGAGTTGTTTGCTACTCGGCGCGATGGCCGTCACAGTGGGGCCACACCCTGGTGATATAACGTTGGGCGCCTGCGTGTGGGAATGCCAAAAAATTCGGGCTGCTCCAAACCACCCGCAAACTCCGCGGGCGCAAAACATGACCATGTTTCCTGCCCACCAGCCCCCCCCCTCCCCAAGACCAGCTGTTCCTCCTGAGTCGTTTTGGGCGGTCCCGGGGCCCGGTGAGGGCCCCTGGAAGCCGAAAGTTGCCAAAAGCCAATCGTCGCCATAATTTTCGCAACGCGAGAAAATCTGCGCCCCCCACCCCCCAAGGCTCCAGCGTGGTCAACTCCGGCTCTGCGGACACGGGATGTTCAGACTGCGCTGGGCCGCCGGTCCTCTTGTGCTGCGCGTCCCCAAAGGCGCGGCTCACGGCGAGGTCGCCGTTGACGCGCGCCACGCCCATGACGTCCTGCGCCGGCGGGGGTCGCCGTCGGAGGACGACGAGCCCATCGGCTACACGTGAGCATGCCTTTAGACAAGAATGACATCTGGTGCGCGACGTTCAGGGGCCGCGGGGAAGCCGAACCGGAGCGCGCAAGCCGCTGCTGTCGCATCGCATTCAGTCATCTGGGGCCCGAAGATGCCCGCACCAAAGGTTACTCTGGCCTATGGCCACTCTTACGTATAGACGAGCCCCGATGTCCGACTGTATTCTGTTTATTTTAAGCCTGGCTGCCTCTCCCCGCCACCCTTGCCACCGTGGTTCGCCTTGACCGCCCACCGCGCTCTGGCCCTGCGCGCCTGGCTGCTGCTGCCCGCCCGGCTGCTCATCGTCGAACTCTTCGGCGTCTGACCGTCCCTTCTTCCTCTCGGCCGTCCCCCTTTCCCTCTCTGATCGTCGGCCAATTCGCTAGTTTGTGCCCTTTTTCTGGCTTCTCACTGGAGCAGATTTCGCCGCCTCGCCGCTGAAAAACAAATTTGTTTTAAGCCAGCGATTTCTCCCGAACTCAGCGTTCGGGGGCCGTTTTCGGGACCTAAGGCCATCAAGAGTTAGTCCAGGGAGACGAGCTGTCTCTGGGGAAGCAGTTAGGACCTGCGGGGCAGCAGGTTGAAATTACCCGATACGTACCCTACCTTTTTTTCCACGCGATGCGACGATACCTGTGAACGCTCCATGCACAAAATCACACTGCGATAGATGCAGAATTCTTGGCACTTCGCCAAACAACGCAGGGTCACGCGCGTCTCACACCTGCGCAACTCAGACCGCAAAATGAATGAAGATAGCAAGCACGATAAGTAATAGAAAATAGGGCAGGGGACAAAGGGGGATGAGGAGGGGAAGAGGACGAGGATGACCAAAGGAACGGTTAAGAAACTGACTGGCAAGAGTAAAAGTGCCATGCGTTACATCTGTTTGGATCACCCTGCTGCTGCTGCTGCTGCTGCTGCTGCTGCTGCTGCTGCTGCTGCTGCTGCTGCTGCTGCTACTGCTGTTGCTGCTGCTGCTGCTGCTGGCGAAAGGCAGCTGAGGAGGGGCCACGTTACGCTCCAGCGCTCCGCGCTCTGGGATGCAACAGCGCGGCGCTTAACGACAGGGCAGCGCCACGCGCCGTGTGAGCGCGCCCTCTCACACTTGACTAGTCGTCGCCCGCTGCAAGCGTCGTTGCCGGCGCCGTCAGAGGAACGGCCAGAGCGCACGCTCGCCTGGAATCCGCTGGCGGGCGCCGCCCTCCGTCGTGCAACCAGCCTCGCTGGGCCCTGCGGCAACCTGCCCAAGCCGAGCGTGGGACGCCACTCCGCTGGGCCTCCCAGGACGAATGGGCGGACGGACGCCACGTCAAGCAGGGCTCGAACAGCCCAGGAAAGCTGGGCGGTCCGCGCCGCGGCCCTCCGAAGTCCTCGCCGCCACCTCGGGCAGAGTGCAGCTCCGGGCCACGGCAGGCCCCAGCGTCGACTGCAATCTCTCTCCGCTCGCTGGGTGAGACAACAGCTCCTCTACCACTCCACAAGACCATCCGTCTGGCGAAGGACCCAAGCAAGCAAAATATGCAGTTGTGCGCAGGGCAGCCGTGAGCAATCGTCTTCGGTGGGGCCCCCCGTGGAGGCCACGAAACATGTGAGCGGTGCGCCGACATGGTGAGGATGGATGGGCCTCTTTTCCACCACCACTACCATAGGTAGGAGAGGGAGGAGGAGGAGGAGGAGGAGGATATGGAGGGGGAGGAGAAGGAGGACGTAAGGAGGTGAGGAGGAGGAGGAGGAGGAGGAGGAGGAGGAGAGGGGAAGGGAAGGAGGAGGAGGAGGAGGAGGAGGACCTCCCCATACTCCTCTCTCCCCCGTCCTACTTCTGGTAGTGGTGGTGGAAAACCGGCCCATCTGAGGAGAAGGCAGGCAGGCCCGGGCACCAGGGGCCTGACAAGCCCGCCCCGAGACCCCTCCTCACCAGACCACGCGGGGATCTCTTCTCCACTGCAGGACTCCCCTTGAAGGACGAGCGCACAACGGGTCTGCCGTTCGGGCGCGGCGCTGGCCTGAGAAGCATCACCCGTCCCCCCTTCCGAGCTCGAGGCGCGCCAAGCTTCTTGCAACCAAGCTGAGAGAGCTGCCAAGCGAGAACCCCCCGCTGATGAGGAGCCACCCTCCATCCGTGCAAACGCTGGAAACTGTACACCTCTGGCACCCGCACCTCTGACGCCCCTTCCATGCGATATCCCAAAATGCTTTCAAGCGGTCGCCCTGCACCCGCATGAATGTTGCAGAAACTTACTGCTGTGGAAGTACATGTTCAGGGGATCCCAAGCGAAACCTCAGCCTTACAAAACAACTGCCCTCCAGCCGTGTAGATGCTGGGCACTTGTCTGACGACTGCGCGCAGATTGCATCCCGCACCGACCATACGTGCATCTACGCAGGTACACATATAGATTAGTTCCTGAACAGTGCTTACACTTAGGGGTCCTTACCGCTGGAATCCGCAACTGGGCGTGGGGGTCGGTCTGGCGGCTATTCAAGTCGGCGTTGCCGCCCCGTCGCCGCCCGTCGTCCTGGCCTGGGGGTCCGTCTGGCGGCTATGTTTTCGCCGTCGCCGCCCCGTCGCCGCCCCGTCGCCGCCCGAAGTTTGGGCCCGCACTGCTTCGCATTGCTTTGAATTGCGATGCCGTGCTATGACCTGCTTTGCTTTGCATTGCTCTGCCTTGCATGGATGGTCTGCGTTGCTTTGGATTGCTTCGCATTCGTTTGCATTGTGTTGCACTGCGCTGCAACGCGCTGCAGTGCGCTACATTGCGTCGCACTGGTGTTGCATTGCTTTGCATCGCGTTGCATTGCTTTGCGTTTGCTTTGCACTGCTTTGCTTTGCATTGTTTACGCTGATATGCTTTGCTTTGCATTGCTTGGCATTGCCTTGCATATTGCTTTATCTGCGTTGCTGCGCATTGCATTACGTTGCGTTACACCACATGGGCTGCACCACCAACATACACATAGATTGCACCACATTGATTGCACCACTTAGCTTGCACCACATAGATTGCAACAAGTCACTGTTTGGGGCCCACGCACTCCATCGGTTGCACCATGTAGATTGTGCCCCCCAGCTTGCGCCACCTAGCGTGTACCACGTAGACTGCGTCACACATATTGCACCACGTCGACTGCACCAGATTGCATCCCATGGGCTACACCACATAGTTTGCACGTCGAGGGTGTAAAAACACACAATGTGTGCGGGGGTGGGCGCAGCAGGACACGGAAAACGATCAGGACGGGTACCACAAGAGTAGAGGAACAAAACACGGCATAAACAAAATGTATCTGAGGTCCGCGCGGACTTCCTGGATCGGCGCTGGACCCCCTCCCTGGCGCGACGAGCGCGCCAGGGACAGCGCTCGAAGCGCCGCCAGGGGGGCCCAGCACAGATCCAGGAAATCCACGCGGCCCATTGGAAGTTCATATTGATGTCATCTTCTTCTTTGGGGGGCCACATGCGAACCCTACCCCTACCCCTACGATTTCCGAGGGGGAGGGTGGGGTTCACTTCGCTCGGAAGCTCCCGAGCGAAGCGAACCCCACCCCCCCCTCAGAAATCGTGGGGGGTAGGGGTAGGGTTCGCGTGTGGCCCCCCATTATTATTCTTCTTCTTCTTCT